CTCCCTCACTGTGAGGACCTTGATCTGCCCCCCCTATGCCCCTTCCCTCCCCACTCCCCTTCCACCACCACAGACTTACCAGCTACACATAGCTCTCCAAGCTGCCAGGCTGTGCTCCTCGCTGCCTAAGTGCTGTGCTGTGGCTGTGTGCACGCACAAGAATTTATCGGCCAAATTATTGGCAACATCAAGCCGATTTCCAATACAGCCAATTTTCTTTATATTGGTGCCAATCTGATATTGGACCAATGTATTGGTGCACCTCTAGTCCTATGTTATTCTGTTGTCTAGTTCAGTGAGCCTTTAGACCTACTTCTTATACAACTGTTCCCATTAGAGCAGTCAAAAAGAGAAATAAATCAGGCAAAAACCAATAAAAAACTGTTATAAGACCTCAATATTGAATATCTTCTGCTCATGAGCAAAAATCACTTCCGCTAATTTTCCGATTCTTTGTTCTGCTCTTTCATGTTGCTGACAGCAGTAATACTTGCTAAAACCAGGGGAGCTGCCATAATGAAGTGCCCCACCTAGAACCAGTATCATGACCACACGCAATGGCCAATGTCTGAAGCTTCTTCCTCACCATTCCAGGCTAGCCTTTCATTTGTAAGCGGACTATGTTGAGAATGGGGGGGCGGTGTGGGGGAAACGGACAGAGAAGAATGGTGTCTACTGGAAAGCAACAACAATGGGACTCTGAGGGAAAAGCGTCACAATTCCTTCTGGAAAATGAGCTGGGATGATTCAGCACCAGTATGTAGCATTTTTCCTCTATCCAGTACCTGGTGTTCCCATGGTGTGACAGGTCTGCTTACTTTTGCCACTGCCCAGAGCATCTGCTGGCTCTATGATCAGAAAGCCCAGGTAAATTATGGCTTATGCCAGCTCAGGTGCCTTGATGGGAAAAGACTGGTTGCACCTCTCTGTTCTGCCCTTCACCAAAACTGCTCTAGGCCCTTGATCTGATGAAACAGCAACTGATTTGGCTATGCTACCTGATAGTGTGCAGACGGGGGAAAGAAGGCTGTACAGCTGTGTGTTGGAAGTTAATGTGTTTAATGACAGAGGAATATAATCCAGTGAGGAAAAAGTGGACAAAAGTAGAGAACTGTGGGAAAAGCCCAGGCTGAATCTTTACTCTTTTCTGCATTTAACATCAATAACATTATTAGATTAAAATTCAACTTACGTCCACCAGGAAATCAAAGACACGGGCATGGAGGGCTTTGGCTAGAGCATCTCTGGTGTAGCAGGCTTGTTCCACATTTAGTGTCACATTAATGGACTCTGATTTGCCTCCCCACTTACTGTCCATCTGCCTGCTGGTCAGTTTGTCCTTTAGGCGGTCCTGGTTAATTCCCAAGAGGAAAGCAGGGAAAGCCAAAACTGCAAGAACAATCAGGGTTACTGTTTTTTAGTCTTTCAATCGTAATCCAACACAAAACAAAGAAACCCACAAGTATCTCAAGTAGCAGTCAGCAGAAATAAACTTGCCAGGATGTGGTAAAAAGGGACTTATTGCTCAAAACTTCCTCTAAACCCTCCAAAAAATAATAGTTCAACTCTTTATACTTAAATGCATTGAATTAAGTTGTACCCTCCCCCAGAAAAGTCAGTTTCTCCATCCCAGTTCTTGGAATGTAAAAGCCCACTTAAATCAAGAGTTTAGAAAGTATGGAACTGAAGCTGTGAGACATTACATGCAACTGACACTACATTTTTGGTAAAACATATACAGTCTTCCAAATGTAGTGAAGGAAGGTCATGGTTAGTTACCAGGTTCCAGTGTCTTTTTCCTTTCCTATCTCCTCTAAGTATGCTCCTCTAAGTATGCTCCCTCTAGTACTCCTAGACTCTTTCTGTGTCTTACATGTGCTCCAGGGTGCGGGTCATGGGGGGGTGGAGGGGGACTTTAATTAGAGCAGCTCTCAGGAGTGTCCCCAGCCCCATTTTGAAGCGTGGGGATGTTGAATACATATGATGTTGAGGCTGCTGAAACATGCTAATTATGCTCCAGTAGACCTGATTAATTGAGTCTGCTCTGACACGTACTAATTAGCACATGTCAGAGCAGGTGTCAGGCACATGTGTAGGTGTCCTTTCAACCTGCCTGGGGACTGTGAAGGCAAAATTTCTAAAGCAGCTAAGAACTGCGTTTATCTCTTCATGTTTCATTGTGGGGCCTGTTTTTGAACCCACATCACCCCAATAGGATATTAGTCCAGATTACCTTTGAAACCTCAAAGGAACTGTCCTGCCATTTGCTTTCTGGGGATGTGTTGGGTATATTCAAGCTGGCATGGCCTCATGACATTTATTTTGGAGTATTTTAGGAATTAGCCGAAGCAATGTTTAAGATGCTAGAGAACTTG